ATTACCTACCTGAATTTTGGAAGTCATCGTACCTGACCTCACTACAACCTTGGCTCGTACCTATATGGGCCATTTCCATGGTTCTGACACCAAACTTCATCCCCCAAATTAAACCGTCTCTCTCGCTTAGAGGCAGCCTGTGGCCAGCATTGGCATTCCCGCTGCCATTTCACCATCTGCCACCAGGTCTGGGAATGCCAGGTTTAACCTGGTGTACAGTCTTCTCCCCATCAGCAACACTGCTGCAGTTATCCATGTTGTTGCGTGTGAGGTGATCCTATAATCAAACAGGAACTGGGACAGTTTGGTATCAAGTGACATTGCAGGCTGTTTCTTTAAGCCTGCCTTCAATGTTTGGACCGCTCTTTCAGCTAGACCATTGCACGATGGATGGTATGGAGCTGTCCTTATGTGCAGATTGCTATTTGACTTTTGGAAATATTTGAATTCCCTGCTGGTCAATAACGTCCCGTTGTCCGCGACCAATACTTCCAGGAGTCCGTGAATCACGAATGATGTTCACAGCTTCTCAATCGTCATCCCTGAGTTTGCCAAATGAACTTTATAGTTGTCCAACCACTTTGGGCGTCCACACGGAGCAGGAACATTGAGCCCATGAACTGACCGGCATATTGAGATGCAACCAAAGCCAGGGTTTACCCGGCCTTTCCCACGAATGTGGGGGCGCTGCTGTTGGCAATTTTGCCCTTGTTGGTACTCTGGGCACTGCCCCACCAATGCAGCTATGTCTACATGCAACCCTGGCCACCAGACATAGATTCTTGTTAGCATCTTCATCTTGGAAACCCCTCGGTGACCCTGGAGGAGCTCAGCCAGTATTTGGCTGCGATCTTTACTCAGGACAATCGCTCTTGCTCCCTACAGTAATATGCCGTCGTCTACGGTGATCTGTTCTCACCGGGTCCAGAAATGTTTCAATCTGGGTTGCAATGTCCCTTCTGTTTTCCCCCATTACCACCAGCTGTCTTCAGTTTTGCTGTGACAGGATCTTTGTGCCCACAGTCAGATATTGTCAGCAGTGGCCGGAAGGGTGTCCACAAAGTTTAAAACCAAAATAGACTCTTCCAGGGGAGGCACCACTGGTGATTATCTAAGAGTGGGAGGTGGCTCAAGGCATCTGCGTTCGCCACTTGGCTGCCTGGACAGCGTTCTAGCTTGTACGTGCTGAGAATACAATGCTGAATGCTACCGGAAGCTAGGGCGCCATTGCCTTGTCTTCCTGCAGTGGCCCGATCAGGGTTTGTGATGTGTTACTGTAACATATTCTCATCCGTAAATATACTGGTGGAACCAAAGATGATTGCCAAACTTTCCTTCTCTATCTGAGCATATCTGAGTTCTGCATCAGCCAAAGTCTGGGAATCATACCCTATTGGGTGTTCCTCTCCATTGGGCCAGTGGTGAGCCAACACTACCCCAATACCATACAGGGAGGCATCGCCTGTCAGCACCACCTCTCACTTTGGATCACAGTGGGCCAACACCTTGGATGACAAAAACTACTTCTTCACTTCCCTAAAGACTACTCTGACCCTTTTTCAACAGCAGGTGTAAGGGTACCAAGATAGAGGCCAGGTTACATATGAATTTTCAGTAATAATTCACTAACCCAAGGAAAGACCTAAGCTCTGGTACAGAGGTGGGAGCCGGGGCTCCTTTGATTGCCCTCACTTTATCCTCCAATGGGTTTAACCCAGTTTTGTTGACTCTGTAACCCAAGTAGGTCACTTGGGGTGTCCAGAACACACATTTTTTCCCTTCTAAAGGCACACGCCTGCTTGGGAGAAACATTTAAAGCACTATGTACAAGTTCTCCAAGTACTCTCGGCCAGCTGGGGTAGCTCTTGTGAAATGTTTTCCATAGTCTGCTGGAAGAGGATACGGGCTGATGCTAGCCCACATGGCAGTCTTGTATATTGATATAAACCCTTATGGGTATTAATTGTAGTGTACTTTTAGGACTCCTCATCCAGTCGCAATTGCAGGTAGGTGTGGCTTATGTCCAGCTTCGTAAAGGACAGCCCCAACCCACCAACGTTGCATACAATTCCTCTGTGCGAGGGTTGGGGTATTTATCCAGCTGTGAGAAGCAGTTTACCGTTTGCTTAAAATCCCCACAAAGGCAAAGTGAGCCGTCAGGCTTCACAATTGGTACGACCGGTGCTGCCCCTTCTGCAAACTGCACTGGTTTGATGATTCCTCTGCTCTCCAGCCTCCTAATATCAACCTCTACTTTTGTCCATGAGGCAAATAGCACCGGGTAGGCCTTGCAAAATTTCAGGATTGCTTTCTGGTCAACATGTAAAGTGGCTTTGGCCCCTTTGATAGTCGCACGCCCTTCCTGAAAAATTCCTGAATATTTCACTAAGACTTCACTGAGGCAGCCACTTGCTAACCGAAAAAAGTTGAGCCAATCAAGGTGAATCTTTCTCAACCAATTCCACCCCAATAAGCTTGGGCCCGAGCCTTTTACTACCAACGGTGGTAACTGCACCAACTGCTTCTCGTAGGAGGCCGGAACCGAAGTCATACCCTTAATCTGCAGTGGTTGCCCAGTGTATGTTCTCATTCTGGCTGAGGTCTTGTGTAAACTTAAAAGTTGAAGTCCCGAGCAAATCTTGTTAAAGACAGATCCTGCAACCACAGATACAGCTGCACCACTATCGATCTCCATGGGAACTGGGTGGCCATTTAACCAAACATTAATTGTAATCAGTTCTGATTTGGATGTCACAAAGAAATTTAGTTGTTCTAACTCACATGTAGGGGGGCTTTGCAGGGTGTGCACTCTCCTGGGTACTGGCTTATGAGTTTTCTTATTCAAATCAGGCCTTGTAGGATTCATTTGCCGTCTTGAGTCTGTATACCGGCAGCAACTACAATGGCTTGCCAGCCCAGATCCTGAAAGACCTTTTAGCCACTTGGCCAAGGCATGACTTTGTTGTAGGGTTCTACTGTGAGCTGGCCTAGGATCCCTCTGCTCAGGACAAGCTCTGCATGAGGCCCTGCAATTGCCTACACTCAAGTGGTGATCCCCAAGCTCAATTGGACAGGTAAGGGTGTCCGCTTCCATTGTGATGCCCTGTAGCTCCCACGCTCCACTTCCTGCATTTTCTAATGACAAAGCCAGTTGCAGTGCCTGTATGAAGTCCAGTTGGGTTTCAGCTAGTAGGCGTTTCTGCATAGTTACATCATTAATGCCACATACCAAATGGTCTCTCATCATTTCGTTCAGGGTTACTCCAAAACCACATGCCTCTGCCAAACCTTAACCTTGTCAAAAGTCCTGATACAGATTCCCCTGGTTCTCTCACAGCTGAATAAAACCGATAACTTCTCTGAATTAGCAGTGGTTTGGGGTCATAATATTCTTTACCCAACTCCATCAACTCTTGGAAGATTTTAGTGTCTGATGTCTCTGGGAAAGTTAAGCCCCTTATAACCGATAAAGCTGCAGGTCTGCAAACAGTCAGAAGGATTACTCGTTGCTTTTCATCTGCTCCAACATAATTTGCCTGGAAATTTATATTGTATTCTTTTGAAATACTGGGCCCAGTCTTTGACAGCAGGATCAAAGGGGTCAAGCTTCCTAAATAAAGGCATGATGCCAGAAATGTTTACCCCAACTCCAGGATGACTGTTGCAAGCAAATGTTCGTCAGGTACATACTGTTTTCTCCTGCTGCCACTGAAATAACTGCACAGAGGCTGGTATCCCGTCACCAAGCCACCCTTTATTTGCTAGTGCATAGTACACTGGCTGTAGCCAGTCAGCTCAGAGTCAGTCCCCTGAACTAAAGAGATTGTGAATCTCCTCTTTATATTGGTCAGCCAGGGATTTCCTGATTAGAGACAACAAGGTGCAGGGCTGAAATTGAATCAGAGATAGTAGGAACTGCAGATGCTGGAGAATCCGAGACAACAAGGTGCAGGGCTGGATGAACACAGCAGGCCAAGCAGCATCATAGGAGCAGAGAGGCTGACGTTTC